CACACTCACACACACACACACACACACACACACACACACACACACACACACACTCTCTCACACATACTGTGTGTAGCTCATCTCTGTCTCTGTGTGTGTCTCAGTGTAACAGGAAGGAGGAATACATCGACCGGATCCAGACGCTGGACTTTGACATGCAGGCAGCCATCGCCGCTCACATTCAGGAGTCGCCCGGTGAGTCGAGCATGAGACGCACGGAGAGCGTGCAGCATCTGTCGGTGGAGCTGGCCGATGCTAAAGCCAGGATCAGACGCCTGCGGCAGGAGCTGTGAGTACAGCACCTATCCAGCTTCCCCTCGGTCCGCTGGCCGTTACAGGAAGTGCTGAGGACCAGAGGAAGTTATTGATCTATTGATGGAGTTCAGCCGTTAGTCTGCGCTGCTACAGCTCTTCACACCCAGCTGTCAGTGTTATTTCCCTCAGTGTCTCTGTGTTTGCTGATGTTCTCTCAGACTAACATCTACTTCAGACTCCTGGAGAGCTTGAGAAACAGCCAGTTTATAATTGTAAATGACGTTACAAGTGTTATCTTTACTGCTGCTTTGACTCTTTAACAAAAGCCCTGGTGAATCATTTACATTAAGGTACAGTACTTATAAAGCGATGCTATCTAACACGACATAATCACATAACCGCAGTGAACCGTACTCTCTTCCTCTATTTCTGTTATTTTCCCTCTGTGTACTCTGTGTAGAGAAGTAAACTAAATCTCATGGAATTTCTGCAAGGAATGATTCAATAGGTGTGTCCCAAATCGCGTACTTATGCACTATTCTATGACGTTTTGTAATATAAATAGTGCGAGTAGTGCGTTCACACTGAAAATTTCACAAAGAAAAAGTGCACTTTATATACCCGGATGATGCACTTAAATAACCGAACATATGAAGTGTGGAATGTTGGACACTTCATGCACTCAACTGTTGCAGCTTTAATTACGTAGTGAAGGGGGAGGGGCTATCAGACTCGTTTATGAATGACAGAATAACCTTATATAATTCATACATACCATGGTTGAGTACATAGTGCATAAGTACATAGTGTATAAGTACATAGTGCATAGTGCGTCATTTGGGACGCAGCTAATGACTCACTCAACATTTACTCATTTCATTATTGGATGAATCCGTGTTTTTGAATGAATGATTCAAAGACAAATACATTTTTAACAGCCCCTTTCCACCACCTAAAAATAAAAGATGTGCACACAGGAATTGAGAGGTGGAATTGAAATTTAAAATTGTAATTTCACAACAAGTGTCCGGTTCCTGACCTTAAGTATCCCATTCTGGAATTGGAATTGATTTTGGATTCGCAGTCCTAGTCTCAAACAAGTCATTTGTGAGAGGATGAGAGAGAGTTTCCTAGCATTAAACTGAAGGTGTGGCTGCGGTGGCTTTGTTAGAGGAGCTCTCACACTGTCCCGTATGCATGCTGAAGCATCCAGGATGATTCTGCACATCTAGAATGAGGCCACGGCTCTTTACCTGGCTTCTGTTCTTGCATCTTTCACTGCAGGGTAAAGGAGGACAGTCTATTTTAATCCGTGTGCCATAAAAGAATCGCACAGCTCCACTTCCTCTTCCCCACTGATCATGAACGAGATTCATTTTGTTTCTGTGCAGTTTATCAAACGTAGTCACAGCTCTCATCTGGTCTCCAGTAAAGTTCATGAGTAGAGGTTTTTCTCATCCAAAGTGTGGTACAGTAGGATTATCACAGAATTAACCTGACAGCGGCCCATCATTAACCAGGAGTCTTACCCGCTTCTGCAGACTAACTGCTTGAATGTCTCTGTGTTTCAGAGAGGAGAAGACTGAGCAGCTGCTGGACTGCAGACAGGAGCTGGAGCACATGGAGACGGAGGTCAAGAGACTGCAGCAGGAAGTGAGGCGTCTCTACATCTTCACCACTGACTGAAAAACACGCTCCTGTGTGACACTGAGCTTAACTAAATCTCTGTCATCTTAATTGCGAGTCCTGATGTGTAATGATTACAGTAATTCCTTTAACTACTTACACGCCACAGCTTTACACAGCCAGTAATAGCTCAGCCGATCATCACACGTGTATTTACAGACACCGCTGTGTCACTGTCTGATCCATGGCATCAAACCGTGATAAATAAACCCTCACACAGTAGTCCAGCCTCTCAAAGAGATGACAATTCTGTCGTCATTTACCCTCATTCTGTGGAATACAAGAATCAAAATTTCCCAAACCTGTTCCCAGAGCCTGTATGAATATAAATATCTATATGTCTTGCATTTAGTTTACCATTATAATGTTTGGTAATTCTGGTAGATCAAAGAGTGTCATAATTCTGCATATTGTAAATCAAATATATATTGGTTAAACACATTTGCTCGTGTGTTTGTCAGAACCTGCAGTTGCTGTGTGACGCGCGGTCGCTGCGGGCGTATCGTGACGAGCTGGATGCTCTCAGAGAGAAGGCCGTCAGGGTGGACAAACTGGAGAGTGAAGTGACGCGCTACAAAGAGAAACTCCATGACATTGAGTTCTACAGGACCAGAGTGGAGGTGCGTTCACATGACTACATGTGTTCATGAGGGAATGCTGGGAATGTTGTGGAGGTTATTGATTGTGTGTGTTCACTAGGGAATGCTGGGAATGCCATGGCAGTTATTGATTGTGTGTGTTCACGAGGGAATGCTGGGAATGTTGTGGAGGTTATTGATTGTGTGTGTTCACTAGGGAATGCTGGGAATGCCATGGCAGTTATTGATTGTGTGTGTTCACGAGGGAATGCTGGGAATGTTGTGGAGGTTATTGATTGTGTGTGTTCACTAGGGAATGCTGGGAATGCCATGGCAGTTATTGATTGTGTGTGTTCACGAGGGAATGCTGGGAATGTTGTGGAGCTTGTTGATTGTGTGTTAACTAGGGAATGCTGGGAATGCCATGGCAGTTATTGATTGTGTGTTCATGAGGGAATGCTGGGAATGCCATGGCAGTTATTGATTGTGTGTGTTCACGAGGGAATGCTGGGAATGTTGTGGAGGTTATTGATTGTCTGTGTTCACGAGGGAATGCTGGGAATGTTGTGGAGGTTATTGATTGTCTGTGTTCACGAGGGAATGCTGGGAATGTTGTGGAGGTTGTTGATTGTGTGTGTTAACTAGGGAATGCTGGGAATGTTGTGGAGGTTGTTGATTGTGTGTGTTAACTAGGGAATGCTGGGAATGCCATGGCAGTTATTGATTGTGTGTTCATGAGGGAATGTTGGGAATGCCATGGCAGTTATTGATTGTGTGTGTTCACGAGGGAATGCTGGGAATGTTGTGGAGGTTATTGATTGAGTGTGTTCACGAGGGAATGCTGGGAATGTTGTGGAGGTTATTGATTGTGTCTTCACGAGGGAATGCTGGGAATGCCATGGCCGTTATTGATTGTGTGTGTGTTCACGAGGGAATGCTGGGAATGCCATAGTGGTTGTTGATTGTGTGTGTTCACGAGGGAATGCTGGGAATTTTGTGAATGTTGTTGATTGTGTGTGTTCACATGGGAATGTTTTGGAGGTTATTGATTGTGTGTTCACGAAGGGAATGCTGGGAATGCCATGGTGGTTGTTGATTGTGTGTGTTCACGAGGGAATGCTGGGAATGTTGTGGCGGTTATTGATTGTGTGTGTTCACTAGGGAATGCTGGGAATGCCATGGTGGTTGTTGATTGTGTGTGTTCACGAGGGAATGCTGGGAATGTTGTGGCGGTTATTGATTGTGTGTGTTCACTAGGGAATGCTGGGAATGCCATGGTGGTTGTTGATTGTGTGTGTTCACGAGGGAATGCTGGGACTGTTGTGGAGGTTGTTGATTGTGTGTGTGTTCACAAGGGAATGCTGGGAATGTTGTGGCGGTTATTGATTGTGTGTGTTCACTAGGGAATGCTGGGAATGCCATGGCGGTTATTGATTATGTGTGGTCATGAAGGAATGCTGGGAATGCCATGGCAGTTATTGATTGTGTGTGTTCACGAAGGAAATGCTGGGAATGCCATGGCAGTTGTTGATTGTCTGTGTTCACGAGGGAATGCTGGGAATGTTGTGGAGGTTATTGATTGTCTGTGTTCACGAGGGAATGCTGGGAATGCCATGGTGGTTATTGATTGTGTTTGTTCACGAGGGAATGCCATGGCGGTTATTGATTGTGTGTGTGTTCACGAGGGAATGCTGGGAATGTTGTTCAGGTTATTGATTATGTGTTCACAAGGGAATGCTGGGAATTAGGGATGTCAATTTTCGATCATTCCCATGATCGATCGTCGTTTAAATTAACGATCAATTAATCGATTAATCGTTAACCTTAATGCTGCAAAATGCGTCTATGCAGCCCGGCATGACAGGATGTGCAAAAGTTACTCAAAAAAATTAATTGTAAAATGAATAGATGTGATTATGATCATTTGATAAAATGAAGAGAGCTCGTTTGAGATTATTTTACTTTGTTGACTGTTTCCTATCCCGACACGGACACGCCTCTTTAAATGGTTTCGTGGTGCTCGTTGTTGTATTTTAAAACACAATTGCAATGTTTTCAACTGACATTATGGCATT